TTTTTCTTTTTTTTTTTTTGAGTCTCACTTTTTCACCCTTGGTGAGTATCATAGAGTCATAGCTCACAGCAACTTCAAATTCTTGGGCTCAAGCTATCTCCTTGCCTTAGCCTCCCAAGTAGCTGAGATTACAGGTGCCTTCCACAATACCTGGCTTTTTTTTTTTTTTTTAAGAGACAGGGGTCTTGCTCTTGCTCAGGCTGATCTCGAACTTGTGAGCTCAAGCAATCCTCCCACCTCAGCCTCCCAGGGTGCTAGGATTATAAATATGAGCCACCTCACCAGGCCTTAAATTTCTTTTTTTTTTTTCTTTTTCCTTTTTTAAGACAGAGTCTCACTTGGTCCCCCTGGGTAGAGTGCTATGGTGTCATAATTCACAGCAAGCTCAAACTCTTGGGCTCAAGTGATCCTCTTGCCTTAGCCTCCTGAGTAGCTGGTACTATAGGCCCTGGCCCAACACCCAGCTAGTTTTTTCTACTTTTAATAGAGATGGGGTCTCACTCTTGCTCAGGCTGTTCTTAAACTTCTGAACTCAAGTGATCCTCCTACTGTAGTCTCCCAGAGTTCATATTTAAATTTCTAGGCCAGGAGGAGCCACTGAAGGTTTTAGCAAAGGAATGACAGTCCATGTACCTTTGAGGTGGGTTAGTCTGGCAGTTGTCTAAAGGGAATTGGACAGAGAGACACTTGAGGCAAGTAGATGAGTTGGGAACCTGCCAAAATTGTCTGATGAAAATAAAACAGAAACACCACTTGTGAATGAGTCTTACCTATAAAAATGAAGCCTGAACCTGAGTAAGCTTCTAGAATCCGAACAAAACAGACACAGGAAGAATACATTAAACAGTACTATGGGAGTACAGTCTGCCAAATCCAGACTATGGGAAACTACACAATGGATCACCAAGTTTTTTTTCATCCACACAAATTCAAGAAACAAAAAAAAGATGGAAGGTCAGCCTGCAGGTTAAAAGAGACTTAATACTTGTTAATCCAGCATGACATATGGACCTTATTTTGATTTTCATTATCACAAACCAAATAGCAAAATTATAGACAGAAAAACGTGAACCCTGTCTGGATGTTAACCACCCTGAGGAATTATTATTGATTTGGAGGGGAGCGTATTATAGTGTTTGTAAAGGGAGGAATCTTTATCTTTTAGAGATACATACTAAAACATATACTGATGAAATGATTGGCCATCTGGATTTGCTCTAAAATTGTCTTCAGTAGGGAGATTAGGAACAGGCAAGAGAGCTGGGGGGGAGAGGCAGGGAGGAGGCCAGCCATGAGTCAGTTATTGTTGAAGCTCAGTGATCATAACATGAGGATTTGTCTATTTTCTTATATATTTGAAATTTCAAATATCACTAAAATAGGGGAAAAATCAGTGAAATATTAAAAGGCAATGAAGGCCTAAATGAGATTGCTCAGTTTCCTGCATTTATCTTTTTTTTATACAGAATGAAATAAAGCGATTATATGATCAACTTATTAAGAATAAGACATCTTTACAGCAGTCTTTGAATGAAATTAGTGGCCAGAGTATTGGTGAACAGCTTCAGGTAATCAAGTCAAAATAATTCAAACCGCCCTAACCTTAGACCATAGAGACTACACGGTGTGTCAGCTGTGCTTCTGCACCACTTTCCTCTGTGAGCACAGCGAGGCTTATGTAAATAAATAAATAATGAAAACTATTTGTGTTGAGCTTTTAAAATCATCTCTTAAGTAGTATTTGCTGCAGCATAACCTCTTAAAACAACAAAAGATCATTTTCACCTATCAACCTCATGAAAGTTTAAGTTTTAAGTGTGCCTAGATTTGGAAAACAAGACTTTTCATCTTCTTGGTAGGGGAGTGCTAATTTGTCCAGCTTCTGGGGATCAATTAGCTATATATCTGAATTGTGAGGATACATCCTCTTCCATCTAGCAGTAATTTGACTTCATTTATTTAGCAAATATTCATTGAAGATTCACTGTGTTCAGGCACTGTTCTAGGTGCTGGACTTGTACTCTTTTTAAGGAAATAAAACAAGTATATAAAGATAAATACAGTAGACCCTCTGTAAGTCGACTACCTAATGGACTCTAATAAGCTGGTAAACATATGGCTGTGGTCAGCATAAGGAACTAGGCCTGCTGAACTGATACATTATTTTCCTGGTACATGTGGTGCATGTCCAGTCTATGAAAATCAGGTCAGCTTAAGAAGGTGGTCAGTGTAGGGAGGTGTCAGCTATGGAGGTTCTACTGTGTTATCAATATTCAAGGAGGGACCTAATGACTCTACTTGAATTAAAAACTGAACAGTCCAGAAATCCATTAAGAGCTGTTACTAAAGCAGCATGCACCCTTACAATGGCATACTGTGTATCTGTTTCAAAGCTGCCAGGTGTATGTATCCTGATTTGGACAGATGCTAAAGAACTGGTAAGGAGTGCTGACTTCAGGGCAGCATGGTGTGGTGCATTTCATGGACCATAAATATAGATGCACATATACTTCCCCTGGTGTATGCATAGAATTGGGGGACTGAGCAAGGGGAACTAAATTTTCTTTCTTCTCTTAATTCCTTTCTGTACTGTTGAATTCTTTTTTAATGAAAATGTGTACATCTCTCACTTACTAGAGGGTTTTCCTTTCTTGTGTCATCTCTCCATTAGAAAGCAGATGCACACATGGCGGAGCTGCAGAACTCCGAGAGCCGAGTAGCCAAACTGAGAGACGAAGGGGAGAGACTCCATCTACCTTATGTTTTACTCCAGGAGGTTTATAAATTAGAGGTATGCCTGTGTAGCAAAGGCTCTCTGGGCACTATGCTTGTAAGGAGTGAGGCTTTTGGCTCCCACCAGAGAGTTCAGATTTGTTCTTCATTAGCGTTATTTTCCTGGTTGGATGACCATGCTCTGTGCACCTGCTCCTGTCTTCCCAGGATGTACTTGACAGCATGTGGGGCATCCTGAAAGCCAGGTACACAGAACTCAGCAGCCCTTTCATCACCGAGAGCCAGCAAGATGCCTTGCTGCAGGGCATGGTGGAACTAGTTCATATTGGAAAGGAAAAGCTTGTTCAGGACTACTTACAACAAACCAAAAGTAAACTCGCTTTACAGGCTCAAATACAAAATCACAAGGTAAGACCATGTGACCTCTTCATAGCTCATCATAAGATTTTTCTGAATGTAAACAGAAATTGTCCATTTTTTGTCTTTGGTGTAATACACATCTTTCATTCTTTAATAAACATCTGTAAGAGGGCTTAGAGCAGGCCAGAAACCCAGGTGAACTCTGGGAATAGGATGGTGAGTAAAAACAGACATAGTTCCTTATAGTCACAGAGCTTTCAGCTGATTGAGAAGACAGACATTTATCAATGAATCTTCAAACAAATTTAAAATTAAAATTAGGACACATTCTATGAGAACACTTAATAGAATCAATTAACTTAAGGAGTATAGAAAAGGCTTTCATGAGGATTGCCATCAAAAGGAAGATGTGTTACGACTCGACAGCAGTGGTTCTCATCCAGTGTGCTGTGGCAGGGTCTTGGGTGTGCCATGACAATTTGTAAAGATTATTAATTAAATTATTTTCAAAAGAAGTTCAAAGCACAGTAAGTATATTCTTTTTTTTACCCTTTTTTTGGATCAACATAATTTAGGTATGCCATGGAAGTGTGCCATGGAAGCTTAACTATAGGTTCGAGTGTGCTGTGAGATAAAAAAGGTTGAAAAACACTGCTGTATGGTATAATATTACAGTAAATCCTTCCTTTTTATTCATTAAACAAAACCCTCTTGATTACCAACTAAAGATATTCAGTAATCTAGGTGCTTATAATAAAAAAATGTATAAGACATTGTACCTTCAGCAAGGTCATAATCTCGAGGGCCCTTGGAAGGTAATTAGTCTAAGAAAAATTGAAAGGTAAATATTATGTAAAGGGTAGAGAGAAAGAGGATAAAATAATATTAGTTATCTATAGCGTGCCAGCCTTTGGTCCATGCCTTTGTAAGGAGAAGGGATTTGTGCAATGTCCAGGCCTCTCCAAATAACTAACAGAGGCAGCAGGCTATAAATGGATAAGAACCATGTGAAATTAAGCCTTCCGCTTAAAAGGGTCATAAAGTACAAATATGGGAACCTTTATGTACCAGAATTCCTAGAAATGCCCATCAGCTAATTCCCCTTATTTAGCCATTTTGTCGAATAAAAGGTAGAGCTAGGGCTTAGGAGCCCTGTCTGCGAACGTGTGGGCACATCAGTCCATCTAATGTATTGTCTTGAAATTCATCAGCTACATTGACATCTGTCTTTTCCTTTTTATCCCTTTAAGACAGTGGTTAAAGGGATACAGTGGTTAAAGGGATACAGTATTAAAGGGTCATGGCATTAGGAAGGTTGAGAACCACTGCTTTAAGAGATGAGGGCTTGGCTAGCCTAAAACTCCTGGGCTGAAGCCATCCTCCTGTCTCAGCACCCCAAGCAGCTGGGGCTATGGGTGTGCACCACTGTGCCTGGCTGGCGTCTATTATCTTTTTGTAATGTTTTTAAAACTCAAAACAACTGATATAGAAAAATCTACCTAAAAATTAAAATTGACTAACAAGAATGTTTGCCGTTTGAAATGGATGATTTTGTGGAAAATATTACTTAAGGATAATATACCTTTATACTTTGTTAAAATTCCTTCAGTGTTCAAAGACTAAGGGATACATTTCAATTTGCTTTTTGTTTTCTTACATATTTGACAAGTGTCCTGGGATTTTTGGACTTAAAAACATAAATCAGTGGGTAAAAATTTGAAGTAACTCGGTTTTTAAGATTTTCACAATTAATAAGTAAGTATTAAAACCTTTTCCATCTTTACAGGGTTTTTTCCAGAAGCTTGTTGCTGACATGTTGTTGATCCAGACATATTCTGCCAAAATGTTTCCTTCTTTATTGCAAAAAAGAGAGACATTTTGGGCAGAACAAGTAGCAGAAGTTAAATTGCTAGAAGAAAGGTCACAACAGTGTGGCATGAAGCTGCAGAGTTTGTTGCAGGTACTTGTGTTACTGAAACTTTGTACTGAAGCTGGAAATTCCTGATTGTCAACAACAATCTAGGTGTTGAAAATAAGTATTTGGTTATCTTTAAGCTGTAGTTAAGAGGAAACATAAAGAGGAGGAAGGTGGATGCCAGATTAGTTCTGATGGCTGCACCCTGAAGGAGAGCTTGGCTGGACTTTCTCATACACAAACCTGAGATGGTATAGCATATTTCTGCCTTTTAGGTTTTATGAATGAATAAGCAAAATTGTAAGCACTGCCAAAGTTACTTAGATGCAACAGTTAGTGGTTCAGAAATTGTACTCCCTCAAGAGAACAGGCCCAGCTGTTCTCTTGTTCAAATGGATTTGTGACAATCTTGTCTCAATTCTAAGAAAAAAATTTGGCATACATAAAGCTCTTTCTCAGTTTTAACATTTTCCCCTCTGATTTATTAAACTTTTTGCAGCCCATATTAGCATACAAGGGAAATAAAAAGGAAGGAAATATTCAACCTGATAATGTAATATGCTAACAAAATTTATTTTCTAGTTAGTGCATCAAATTGATGTTTATAATAATAGTTCATGATGTTTTGAAAAAAAGACTCCACGGGCCCAGTGAGAGCCCTGTAAACACCAAGTGACTCATTAAGTGAGTAGACGTGACATGAGCGGGATCGTTTTTCCAACAGGATAACTTAACTCCTGATCTAATGTATTGTCTTGAAATTCATCAGCCAGCCACGTTGGCATAAAACTTTATTTTATTTTGGGGGGTGGGGTGGGGGACAGAGTCTCAAGCTGTCACCCTGGGTAGAGCGCTTTGGTGTCAGAGCTCACAGCAACTTTAAATTCTTGGGCTTAAGCAACTCTCTTGCCTCAACCTCCCAAGTAGATGGAACTATAGGTGCCTGCCACAACACCCGGCTGTTTTTTTGTTGTTGTTGTTGCAGTTGTCATTGTTATTTTAGCTGGCCCAGGCTGGGTTTGAACCCACCAGCCTCAGTGTATGTGGCTGGCGCCCTACTCACTGAGCTTCAGGCGCTGCCCCAACAGGTGATTTTTAGTGTCAGCAACTTGGTTCTGTAGCATGCTAGGACCCTTGCAGTAGACATCCCTGGAAATGGAGGGAGTGAGGGCAAAGCAGGCCAAGGCAATCATACTGTCTTGACCGGTGTGAGCCCACATTTCTCAGACAAGCCCCGGTAACATGGGAGGATAATGGTAGGCAGGCTTGGGCTTAGAGCAGGGAGGGCAAAAACAGCCTGATAAGCGCGTCCGTTGGAAAAGGCTTTAAAGGTTAGCTTTTTGCATTTCCAAGTAAGACAGAGGTGCTCACAGAGGTCTGAGGTCTCTGCAGAGGCGCTAAGAGCATCCGCTAACCTAATGTATTACTCTCTTAGTCTTATTACCCAGTCTCACAAGGCAAGCATAGAGCACTAATTTTATGCCAACTGGATTTTTAAAAACCATGTTTGCAAATTGTTTTCCGTTAGACACTAAGCTCATACTAGCATGGATTACACCTCTCAGAAATATCTGAAATCAGTGCTTTAATTTTGTGTGGTCTCAATGTTCATTTTTTTTTATGATGAATTATGTCATTGTCTAGAACCAGTCTACAAAAGGACTCCCACTGACTTTTATGTTCTTAATTCTCTAGAAATGGGAAGAATTTGATGAAAACTATGCATCTCTTGAAAAGGACCTGGAAATTCTGGTATCTACATTGCCCTCTGTGAGTTTGGTGGAAGAGACAGAGGAAAGATTAGTGGAAAGGATTTCATTTTACCAGGTATTTTGCTTCTGTTTCAGTTGTCAATGGCATAGTCCGTAGCACTCTGTTTTATTTGGTCTTAACATTGACCAAGTGAGCTTGATTTTGAAGATGAATGATTTGAATTGAAATGGATTGCTGTTCATCACACAACTCACTATCAGAGATGTATTCAGGGAGACTGCAGATTAGATCATGAGCTCGTCAGCATGGCCATGTCTGGTTTGGGATTGAGGACCTTGGTTTGAGCCCTAACTCCATCACTTTACCACTTTTGTGACCTTACAAAAGTAAGGCTTATCTCAAAGCCTCAGTTTCTATACTTGCAGAACATATAATAATTATAGCTGTCTCAGGAGGTGGATGGCTGTGGGCTACCAGTATAGACATGAGCTGAAGAATGGAAAGAACTTTGTAAACCATGGGCCTCTAAATCTGTATTTGATTTTATTACTACAGTAAAGTCCTGACTGGACATAGCCTGTGAGATAGACGATAATCTGTTACCAGGACTAGGCGTGGTGACTCACGGCTATAATCCTGGCACTCTGGAAAGACCACTTGAACTCAGTAGTGCGAGACCAGCCTGAGCAGTACTGAGACCTACCTCTATTAAAAATTGAAAAACTAGGCTCGGCGCCTATAGCTCAACCGGCTAAGG